TCAAACCCACTGCACTGGGCTAGAAGCATAGATGGCCTAAAATAATAAAAGCTTGTCAGTGTAATTGTGTTGTATATCTCCCTCCAGAGAATTAGACAGGTATTTGCCTGAACTACTTCTGAACCTTACTCTGGACTTCAAAAAAGTTTCAGCCCTTTTTGCCTAAGTAACAGTTCTTGTGTCAACACTGCTAACATCAGATGTTCAAGTTAATTGGGGAATGTGATTTATGTTAATTGGAGGAGGGAATTGCGCTTTGCTACTTTGTGCCACAGGGGAGGGAAATTCAGTTTTTGACTTCAACTATGTAGTGCCGATACTTTGTTTCTCAAATAAAAGATTCTTTAAGAAAAACAATGCCTCGAAGCTCTTTTGAAGAGATTCATCTGTCGGAACCATGACATCCTACATATTTCCATTAAAGTCCTCTTCCTTACTCTCACAGATATTATAGGTTTAGGTAAGCCTAATGGTCTGAAGACAGAAAGAAAACCACAGTAACACTAGCTTTAAATGCAGTTTAATTTTACAGAGTGGTTGGGTTGGTTTGATTTGAGCTTAGCATGTTGTGTGATCTGAGGCATAAACCATATTGTAAATTTTGGCGGGATATGTAACCCTAGACTAAGACTGGAGATCGAGTTAGACATTTGATTATTTTCTTTGAAAATATTCTATAACTCTTAGTCTCCAAAAGCAGATCCCAAGCAGATTTGACCACATTCTTCATAAAAGAAAAAGCCTAAATCCTAAGAAACATATATTAAAAACAAAATCATAGGGACATATTTATCAGTTGCTGCCAGTTATACTAAATTAGTTACATATGTGTTATTTGAGGAAATGGGTAGCAAAACATAAACTTAACTACCACTTTAAGAGTTACAGAGAACTTATCAGTTATGAAGTTCATTTCACCTATTAATAGTTTTTGAGGTATAGCAAGTTCAAATGTATAGTCTAGGACAGGGCTTTTCAACCTTTTTACCCATTGTACCACTTTTAGGATATGGCAATATTCGAGTACCCCCAGTCGCCTAGCAATGTGTCAAAAACTTGATGACCAAAAAAAAAAAAGGAAAAAAGTGATAAAGTACAGGTAGTTCTCGACTTACAACAGTTTGCTTAGTGACTGTTCAAAGTTACAATAGCACTGAAAAAAGTGCCCCCCAAGCCACAGCCAAGCAAGACATCTGCCGGCCCGCCCAGTGGCGCTCTTCCTCCTGTCCGAGGTTTTCATTGTTGTGAGCATTTCTGTTGATTGGCAGCAGGAGTGGGGTGGGGGGTGTTTGGTTTTTATCCCCCCCCCAACTGCTGGGTGGTTGCAGCAGATTTTGGTCACTTCACATGACCCTGGGACATTGTGACCGTCATAAATATGAATCAGTTGCCAAACATCTGAATGTAAATCACAAGACCCTGGAGATGCTGCAACATTCCAGCTGATCGGTGCTTCTTCTGGGCTCAGCAGAAGCGCCAGGATCAGCACTGAGCTCCAGCTGGTGCCTGGCGCTGATCCTGGTGCTTCCGCTGAGCCCTGACAGCCCTGCAGCTCCAGCCATCTCTCGCTCAGGCCTGTGCGGTGCTGCCACCGGTTCAGCTCATTCCCCTCCCCCACTACCACTTTTCTAGGATGTCGCGTACCACCTGCCAGGTGCCAATGTACCACAGGTGGTACCCGTACCACTGGTTGAAAAGCCCTGGTCTAGGAGCATTCCATGACACCCTCTCATACGTCATCAAGAGAAGAAATGCCAATAAACAACTTGAAGGACTGCATAATTTTTCAACATTTCTTTTGACAGCCCGCAAAATAAAATCCTGTTACTTTTTGGACAGCCATTCAAAAGAGCCATCTCTAATGCTAAAGGAGCTACAATGGTTTTGTAAAATGAAGAAATAGACTACTTCTCATAATCCAATTACAGTACAGAGAAATCTGCTGTCCAAATATCAGTTTCCACATATTGGAATCACTTGATTTAATGTAGCTATTTTATTTGCTACACATAGTAGAAAATAGAACATAGAGAATGAGGATTTTGTGGGAGAATAACATTATAATATAAACTCTTGAGTTAGCTTCTTAAGGAATATGGAAGAAATTGTCATGAGAGAGCAACTGAATTAGGTTTCAGTAGTTATAGTGGTAAAGATTAGGCTTAGAGGACCAAGGAACCCAGATTTCAATCTCATGCTAGTCATCATCTATCAAATTTATCTCACAGAAAAGTTGTAGATAAAAATGGGATGCTAGAATTACCAAATAGGTAGGATAAAAATTTAATGAATGTTAAGCATAATTAATAGGAAGTAAAATTAATAAAGTATAGTAGCCAGTGAAAAATCATCAGAATTTGGTATGCAGGATCAATGTTTTACTAAAAATAAAATATATTTAATGCTATTATCCACATTACACATTTCAATATTATTATTTGCAGAGTAAAGTCAGAGAAAGAACAAGATTCAGGAATAGTTCAATTTTCCTATGAGCCCCTGATCATAAAGAAGACTGTGAATTTTTTTTAAAAGAAAGTAACATATTAAGAATAATGTTGTCACTCATTGGCCAATTGAGAAAATAGACTACTAGGTTATTGCTATATCAAGATGACCCATTTGGACTTTGCAAACAGAGTTCCATATACAAGGCCAAGTCAGAAAAGAAGGGTCTGATAGCTGATAACATTTGAGAGAGACAGATTAAATATAGCTGAGCTTCTAAAGGCTTTTATGTAATATTTACTGTGATTTTTATTATTGCCTGTTCACCGCCCTGAGTCCCATAAGGGAGATAGGGCAGTATATAAATTTTAATAATAATAATAATAATAATAATAATAATAATAATAATAATAATAATAATAATAATAATAATAATAATAATAATAATAATAATAATAAAGGAAAAAAGCCAAGCGTGGCTGGGCAAATATATATATATATATATATATTCTGAAGTACACCCAGAGGTATACACTCAGTGAAAACAACTCTGCCAGTTTGTGTTCAAATGCAATCTTCCAAAATATGATTTATTAAATGGCCTTTAGGTCACAACATCAATGAAAGACAAGATTATCAGGGAATGTCTGCTCTGCTGATGTCTCCACCCCCTTAATTTATCTGCTTTCCTCCAAGGAGTTCAATAGCAGTAAATGCCATCTTCAACTCATTTTTATCCATAAATAATCTATAGTAATAAAAAATAGTCCAAAAGATACTATTCAGTTTAAACACCTATTTAGTCAGGCTTCGACTTGGCCATCTAAGCACAAGGGAGAAATAAATGAAATTCAGTTATTTTGAAACTGAATCTGGGAAGCAGATTATTTTAATTACTGCTTCTTTGTGATTCATTTTTCTAAGAAGTGCTAGAAGAATTTCTATTTAAGAAACTTCCTATATTTCAGCTGCTTTTATAGGAGGTTTGGCAATTGCCCATCAGTCTGAAATCTAAAAAAGTAAACGGAAAATATATATATATATATATTTAAGGGATTTGTTTTAGCATTCTAAAGTTAGTTATGCAGCTTAGAGTGGTAGAGATTAAACCTTCAAATGCCATTCTTTCAAAGATGCTTTCAATATAAATTACACCAGGATGAATAGGAATGATGGATTGAAACCCTCCCAAAGTATTCCTTGAGAATAGCTAAGTATAATTAAAATAGTTTGCAAAAGTTGCAACACAAATACTATAGGACATCACAAATCCAGCAAAATCTTTCATGTCCCTAAAACCTATATTTATCTAGAATATAACATAGCAGGATTGTCTAGGAATTATTTGAAAGGTTAAGAACATACTATTTTTTGCATTTCTACTAGCTATCATTGTAGTAAATGCAGAAGCTTTTATTAGATTGTATCCAGTTCATTGCTGTTGCTTCTGGTACCTACTAAAGCAGGGGTCTTCAAACTTGGCCCTTTTATGACTTGTGGATTCAGGTACGCGGCTGAGGAATTCTGGAAGTTGAAGTCCATAAGTCATAAAAGGGCCAAGTTTGAAGACCCCTGTACTAAAGCTACCCAAGTACATTACTAGGAATAGTTTAAAGAGGAATTGCTGGTGACCTGTTTTTAGAAAGCCCCATTGAAAGTGAAGCATAAATGAAATGTTCTGGGGTTTTGTTAAACCATGGCTAGGTCTTTTGAAAGCACACTGCTATTTTGTAAACTATGGCTTGCAACACATTCCTTTTCATTGTTAAACATCTTATACACGAAGAGGCCAATCCAAAAACAAAAGTTACATTCAACTTATCACAGTAGGTTTTCCACAATATTAGCCTTCTGCACCACTTTTTCTTTTTGCACACTCCATTAATACTACAGAATATATTTTTCTCTCTAAAAGAGACATGTTTCTTCTAAAAGAAAATATTTTCTAGCTGACCGTGTTCCAGAGAATACTGAGATTTCTCAATGTTGACGATAAAAGAAGTTTCTCTGAAAGCACGTTCGTCATTGCATAAATACATAAAATGAAGAGGAATGTGTTGCAAGCCTGTCTCAGTTTACAAAAATAGCAGTGTGCTTCCAAAAGACCTAGCCATGGTTTAGCAAAAACCCCACAACATTTCTCCATGTATGCTTCCCTTTCAATGGGGCTTTCTAAAAACAGGTCGCCAGCAATTCCTCTTTAAACTATTCCTAGTAATGTACTTGGGTAGCTTTAGTACGTACCAGAAGCAACAGCAATGAACTCCTGGATACAATCTAATGAAAGCTTCTGCGTTTACTACAATAAACGTCCCAACCCATCCCCGGGAAGCCGTTTTAATAAACTAATTCAACCGTCCTACTTTCCGTAGCAGCAAGTCCTTTCCGTAGCAAGGCGAGTTTCCCATAAGCTTGCTCACACCCCGTTGCCTTACATTAATTGGAATATTATTTTATGTTCTCTGTATGTTGTAGTACAGACTGGGTCTCTCATCCATCCTTTGCCTATATCCTCTCTGAATGCCTACGTTCCTAAAACAGCCGTTTCTTACCTTCTCAAACACCGCATGAGCTCAACCACCCAAACTTTTGCCCGGTAACAAAAGCAAGGAATGAAGACTTCCTACACACAGCCAGTTACTATACGTTAACGCTATCAAGCACGCAGGCAAACATGCTTATCTATAGGCTCTTATAGCCGAGACTCTTCCTGTATCGCATCCCAGAAGGGGCGGAGCCGAGAACAGGAGCGAAGGATCCAAATGCACCTTTGGGGAGAAGGGGAAGAAAGAAACTTTCACGACGTGGGAAAAACAGGAGTGGGACCTTCTCGTCCAATCTCTAAAAACTTGTTCGATCGCCTAAGAATTTAATCGCGAGTCCTCTGGAGTTCACTCTTTCTAGATGCCTATGGAAACAACGGCTAAAGTTCCTCAAGATGCCGAAGACATAAAGAGGTTGCAGGATTATCACTTAACGTGAGAGCCCAACTACAACACCAGCTAACAGTGTTTCTCAACCTTGACAATTTTAAGGCATGTGGACTTCAACTCCCAGAATTCCACAGCCAGCAATGCTGGCTGTGGAATTCTGGGAGTTGAAGTCCACATGCTTTAAAATTGTCAAGGTTGAGAAACACTGACATAGCTATGCGTAATTAGACTTACACCTGGCTGGCTGAACTACTCTGATCAGAGTAGTAGAACACCAATCTCCGCTTACTCAAGAGAAAGCACATTGAACTCCCTGGATCTTGCTTCTAACTAAGATCGGATTGCACGTTAGTTTTTAGACACTGGCTCTCTTTGGCTGAAAAGTCTAATGGGACGATGTTGAAAATAAAAAAGGAACATTCCAGAACAGATACTTGACCTTGGATTATGTTGCGAGGGAATGATATGGAGATGGTTAAACACATGGGCTGGTGACCAGCAAATACAGTTATGGGTATCTCTCTGGCTTCAAAGAGATTGCTGTAGAAAATTGATGGCAATACTTTGGGTCTCAAGGAGAACAAATCATTCTGTAATAAATGAAGTAAAATCAGAAATACTAATTATGAGCCAAATTGATGCATGATGGGAAGGTATCCATTTTTCTTCATTCAGCCTTTCTGATAATTAAACCATAATAGGTTATGTTTGTACCATATAATAAATTGTAAGCCAGCATTTATAAATCAGATTGGTTGGACAATTATATTTGAATTTTTACTAGTTCTATTAACTGGTCAGAGTCTGGGGGGGGTTGCTTTGGGCCAGTCACTCACTCACTCACTCCCAACCCACCCCCCAGGGTTGTTGTGGAGAAAATACAAAAAGGAAGAAACATTATGTTTGTCTGCCATTTTGAGCTACTTGTAAAGTAATAAAGATGAGATAAAAAGCTAATGAATATTTTTTACACCTATCAGAATGTCCAATCAGCCAACTGATTACCATACAGCTAATATTTGATTATTTATAAGTAAGGTTCACACAATCCATCTAGCTAAGTCTAAGTAGAAAATCCATCCATATAGCGTCAGATGCAGGAAACGGAAGTCAATTTGTGGTGACAATCCAGCAAACTCAGTTTTACAGTGCCATTTTTTTAAAGTCAGTTGTGTTTTGAGACAACACAAACAGGATAGAGAATAGCTTAGTGTATCTCCACTGTCTTTTTGTGCCCATTTAACCACCACCTTGCACACCCATATATATTAAAAGTTTTTAAAAAGTGCAACTAGAACAGCCCCATGTATGGATTCTCTAACCTCCATTGTCTAGTAATGGGAAGAAATTTTTAATACGAGGGCAATTTGGAAATAAACTTCCGTTTGAGTATGTGCGAGAAATAGGCGGGGATAGCGACGTCTGTCCTAGGGCGCCATGCGCAGTGGTTCAGTAGGCAGTGGTAGGAGAAGGTTGTATTGCAGTTGACTCGTCCGCTAGATCAAATGAAAATGAACTCTGCCATAGAAAATCCCGCCAAATGTAAAGTGCGTGCAGTCCTACGATTCCTGTGTGAGAAAAAACTTTCGGCAGCAGCAATTCATTGCGAACTGTGTCATGTGTATGGACCAAACATGATGAGTGAAGGTGTCGTACATCAGTAGTGTCGCATGTTTAAAGATGGACGAGCTGACATGCACGAAGTAGCTTCGATGGTGACAATGCGCTTCACGATGCTGTTACAGGGTGGCTTCATTCCCAGGTGGGAGATTTTCAAATCTTGTAAGATGTTATGACAAGTGCCTCAATTTGAATGCCTATTATGTCGTAAAGTAATGTGATGTTGTTGTTTTCTAATGCGTATAATAAAAGTTCTGTATCTGCGAGTGTCCGTCATTGATAACCAAATGGAGCTATATTTCTGAATTGCCCTAGTAGTTCTTATGCGTGTTCAGTTGACTTCAACCTTTGTCTTTCACCAGCAATGCTCTTAAGCATCTCTTGAGCCACTCCGTCTCTCTTGGTTCCTCCGCAAATCCTGGGGAACAACAAGATCCAAGGTTGAGGGAGGGGGCACAATCTTATCCAGCCCCTCAGTTACTCTCTTAGTCCAGAGTTCTTGGCAGGACTACGCAGGAGAATCCTCAGTTATAGCCCCCGTCAGTGAAACCCATCAGTGTGCAACAGTTGCTAGGGATGACCTTATCTAATAGGTTCCACATCCCTGCAGAGGGATACAGCCTTAGAGAAATTCATAGTTACCAAACTGTGGTAACAAATTCATGACAGCGGGACCAAAGATAGGTCCACTAATTCTAGTTCACAAAGGCACTGCTCCGACAAGAACACCAAATTGCGTGTGTGGGTCATGGCTATCTTGGGACAGGCCCATGGATGTCTTTCCAGGAACTCCTGAGCAATCTCTGACCCCACTCCCATGGAAGGCAGGTTGAAGTCCCCTAGAATTATAAGCCTGGGAAACTCCACCACCATCCCTGCAGGAGCTTGGACGGGGAAGCTGCTATGTAGCAGTGAGGCTAATACAATAGTAGCAATCCTCAGAGCCCACTCTAAGAAAAAAGGTCTCACAATGGCCATTTGTGGAGCTGTGCCCCTATAACAGTCAGAGACTCTCAAATAACAATAGTCACATTACCTGCCCTGCCCTGCAGTCTAGGCTGGTGCCACACCTGATATCTGACTAGGCAGAGAGGAAATCTTCCCTTTGGCCTCAGCCAGGTCTCTGTAATACATGCCAAGTCAGCCTTCTTCACGGTGATCCAATCAATAATAAGGGGAGCCTTATTGCAGATCGACCTGGGTTTAAGAGCAACAGACTAAGATCTGGGTCACTATTGATCTACTGACCAGCTAAAGAGGTTTAGCTCAGGGGGACGGGATGCACAACCAATACAAAACATTGCAGATACATTCCCTGTGAAAGGGAGGCCCCCTTCCTCCCTTATTACATCAACTTGAGGATAACCGCGTTGGTTTAAAATAAGTTCACTGATACTGAATAACAATTAATGGAGGAGGAGTTGCAGACTGGGTACCATGTAATTTCTACCTGACCGTCTTTTCAATTATGTCATCCAGAAGCCCAGAACTAAATTACAATTCACGACTTTACTTATTCGTTGTACTAATCTATCTAATTATCTCTGGGCATAATGAGATAGCTTCGTATATAAAGAAATGTAATTATTCTTTGTACTAACTTATTTCATTATTATACAGGGGGGGGAAATCATTACAGAATTCCAAATTCAAATAATCTTTTGAAAAACGATCAATCTTTACCAAGCTGATGAACTGAACATTCTGGGATCTGAAACCCCAGCTTGATCAAGCTTTCAGTTATTGAACTTATATTACAGATTGATTTTTCATAGTCAAGTGAGTTTGATCACGTTTGGCATGGAGATGCAGTCATTTGACATGGAGATGCAGTCTTCCAAACATCTGTTTAAGGACATGGTTATATTATCAACCAGTTGTTGTAAAGTGGTCTGATACGGGTTAAATTGAATCTGCCGGCAGAGAAAATGGCTATAGTCTAGCTTAATTCAGTAAATGGATAGGAAATACATTATTCAGACTGTGGACAGTCTTAATAGATCGGGCTCTTCTACTACAACATTTGGTTGACAAATATACCACCACCCAAGAGTTCGTTCAGGTATCCATCTGATTCTATATTACTAGACACTGAAAGTTCTACAGCTGACAGATTGTTACTACTGACATGTTACACAAAAATACAAAGATAAAGATTAATGTAACACTAATAATAGTCAACTTTCTAGTCCGGTGGATTCCAGAAAGAAGCAGAGTTGTATTCTACTCTCCTTACCTTCCACAGGTATAGTAATAGAGTAGTTAAAATGTTCATGTACTTGCACATATAGGTAGTCCTCAGCTTACAACCATTCATTAGTAAGTGTTCGAAGTTACTAAGACACTGAAAAAAGTGACTTAAGACCATTTTTCACACTTAACAATTGTTGCAGCTGGCATGAATTTATGATGGTTGCAACGTCTTGTGGGGTCATGTGATCATCTTTTGCAACCTTCTGACAAGCAAGGTCAATGGAGAAGCCAAATTCAATTAAGAACCATGTTTTTAACTTACAACTGCAGTGATTCACTTAAGAACTGTGTCAAGAAAAATCATAAAATGGGGCAAGATTCATTTGAAACCTTTGCTTAGCAATGGAAATTTGGGGCTCAGTTTTGGTCGTAAGTCAAGGACTACCTGCAGACACTTTGACTAAGGAACAACTGCTATTCAAATCTGTGCAGATAATGGTGTGATGCGATCATAGATTCCAGTCAGGAAAGCCTTGAAGGCCCTTAGTTAATACAACCTCAATATCCAGTTTGTAATTACTGTGAGACCAAAATCATGATCTTTACCAAAATGCCAAGGGAATACTAATAAACATTAAATGATCATCTTATTAAGTAGGCCAAATGATTACACACCAAGGGTATGATTTTTCACACTTCAAATAAAAATAAATAAAAGGCATTCTGCTAACATTTATATACTATATTAGTGTTTATACTTCAACCACTAGATAAAATAAAAGAAATAAACATTGCAAATGTGTGTGGGATCTTCAGGGGAAAAATGGTGAATGTTTAAGGGCCACTTCCTGGCCAATGATTCTCTTTTTATTCCTTTCTCATTTCTAAATGAGCTTACTGTCAGTTCCAA